ACCACTTCGCCGGGCAAATAATCTGTCGTACGGCCAATACCGTGAAGCCCCGTATGCTAGCCGCACAGCTGGCACAAGCATGGGATCGAACAATGTCCGCGGCCCGGCTGGTGCTGCAATGCCTACGCACGGCCTTCAAAACGAACACCTTTCCTTTGCCATTCCCTTAGCCGCTCGCAACGCTGCCAGTGGTATTACCAACGAAGGAGTGCGGGATGTGCCCCGCTCTTGACCTTCGAATTGGAAGTACACAACCCCGTTTTGGTGGACTCTGGCGTGCGACTGAGTGATCTCTGCTCGATCTGGCAGTATCAAGCCGACATCAACAACACATTTGGATAGCGCGAACCGAGCTTTCCGTATTAGTACTGGCCCTCTCAGAAAGTAGAGGCAAACCGCATCACGAATACCAACTACGATGACACGAGGGTCGTCGACAGATATGCAAACTTGCTGGCAGACGCGAGGCTGCTCAGACATTGGCACATATGTGCCTTACACATGAGCTGCAAGACGAGCGGGTCTGATGTTCTAAAGGGTCTAGTTGCAGTTCTTCAGTCTGAGATCGACTGAATTGGACTTTGGGTCACATCTGCTACGGTCGGACTTGGTTTTATGTTCTGCTTGCTTGGACAGGACACGAGCCTCCTTGGATCACTGCTATGGACATACAGGTCTGAATGATGTGGTTTGGTCTAGTGGGAATGGTCTTAAGGTATCATGGTTATCAGAAATAAAAATGAGCTGTGATGGCGCAGGAAGAGCTCTAGATGTATGCGTTGGCCTGGGAGACAGAAGGACTATTTGCACACCTGCTCACTCTGATTCATTGTGAGTAGAACATTAGCTAGTATCTCAGCACTGGACTGAGGTGACAGACCATTCCAAGTAATACCGAATATGGACAGTAAAGAACCAAATTGGGTAAATTTGTCACCTGACTTCGCGCATCATTCAAACTGCGCGTACGAGTTGTGCATACGTCATGATTGGCCAGATTGAGTCTGCATACTTTTGCTCATTGTCCATTGTCCCCAAAGTGCAAAGTAGTCGAAGCTGCTATGATATTGTCTGCGTTCTGATCCTCTAACTATCCATCTGGTCGGCCCATAAGTCCCAAGGCCTGAGCCATTATCTCATGGCCAAGCTGCAGGCAGCCACTGTTTCTCGCATCCCCGTCAATCGCAAGCGGAAACGCTTTCCCAAAGACCAGGAGTCAACACCGACTGAGTCTGGCCTCGTTTCCTCCGTCGCGGCCACCACGAGAGTCCCCACCAAGACTCATGATGGAGGTTCCAAACCTAGAAGAACGAAAGGCACATCGAAACCTGCCCTGAGCCGAACTAGTTCGTCCTCGAGTCTGGTAGAGTCAGACGTACCTTGGCCGGACCACTTCAAGTATCTATCCCAGTTGCACCGCGCCTTGAATGTCGTATACACATTTTGCTGCACCAGGAAGCATTTCGCAACGACATGGGACAACATCAAGAGTGCGGTGGAAGGACACATCAAAAAGCCCTTGGTCGAGGACGACGTGGCGCAGGTCAAGGCGTTATTGCCGCGGGCGATCAATTTTGCCTATGTGGATGAAGAACACCTTATGGTAACACTTATGGGCGAAGAAGATGGCGTCAGAGGTGGCAGAGCCGACCATTTTCGGTCTCTGGAAGAGGATGAGAGCGCACCCAGAGACAAATCGGAGCCATCCAAAGAACTTCTTCTGTTCGAGTTTGTGGATGGCGACCTGAAAAGACAGGTTGTCGACCCCAAGACGGGGCAACCCACCAAAGCGACCCAGAAACTACGCAATGAAGATCTCAAAATGCCTGTCTTTAGTCAGAAATCGATGCTCAATCTCATCGAAAAGCGTAATGCCAAGTTCACTTCAGCCATAAACACATTCCTCAACCAATGTGCCGAGGAGCAAACAGACCCGGTGGGAAAAATACTGGACCTTAAACAGCAGTATTTACCCTACCCCTCAACCAGTCGTCCTGCAACACCGGGCCCAGATAATCGACTGCAAAAAGCGATCCCCAAGGAACGAAAGTCAATAACGGACATTGTCAAAGAGATTAGCGAGCTCGAGTGGTATACTGGACAGATTGTGCCCGACGGACATCGTGTATTCGATCCTCAGCCGGCCATATATGGTGACCTCAATTTTCAGCTGTCCCAGAATCTGGTGAATGCGCTGTATAACAGCAGGGGGATAACTCAGTTGTACTCGCATCAAGCCGAGGCCATCAATAACCTGCATGATGGTCATCATGTAATCGTGTCTACCTCAACCAGCTCAGGCAAATCGCTGATCTATCAGATCCCAATGCTTCACGAACTCGAGAAGGATCCCCAAAGTCGCGGGCTCTATATTTTCCCCACCAAGGCTCTCGCCCAGGACCAGCGTAGAAGCATGAAAGAGCTCTTGAAGTACATCCCAGGCTTGGAAGACGTCGTTGTCGAGACATTTGATGGCGACACGCCCATGCGAGCACGCAACCAAATCCGAGATGAAGGTCGTATTATTTTCACGAACCCAGACATGTTACACATTACTATTCTACCCCAGGAGAGCGGATGGCGAGAATTCCTTCGGAATCTCAAATTCGTGGTCGTGGACGAGTTGCATGTGTATAACGGTTTGTTTGGTGCTCATGTGGCCTTTATCATGCGTCGACTGCGGCGCATATGTGCTGCTGTGGGAAACCGCAAGGTCAAGTTTATTTCATGCTCTGCAACAGTGGCCAATCCAGAAGAGCACATGAAGACCATATTTGGCGTGGAAAATGTCAAGCTAACGGATTTTGATGGTTCTCCGTCTGGCCGGAAGGAGTTTATTTGTTGGAATACACCATATAAAGATCCAGGCGATCCCTCATCAGGTCGTGGTGACGCTTTTGCAGAGACAGCGAGGTTAATATGCCAACTCATTTTGCGAGGGGTTCGAACCATTGCCTTTTGTCGCGTACGAAAGCAATGCGAAGTCCTGCTAGCGGCGGTCAAGACGGAATTCACAAACCTCGAGAGACCAGAATGTTCTGCTTTGGTCATGGGCTATCGTGGCGGATATTCGGCTCAAGACCGTCGGCAAATAGAGTCAGAGATGTTTGGTGGCAAGCTCATGGGTATCATTGCTACCACGGCCCTGGAGCTGGGCGTGGATATTGGATCCCTTGATGCCGTGGTTACGATGGGGTTCCCATATACGATCGCCAATCTGAGACAACAGAGCGGCCGTGCAGGTCGACGGAACAGAGACTCGCTTTCTGTTCTGGTCGGTGACTGTTTTGCTGTCGATCAACATTACATGCAGAATCCCGACGAGATCTTCACGAAGCCTAATTGTGAGCTCCAGGTCGACCTGCAAAACGAACTTGTGGTGGAAGGGCACATTCAGTGCGCTGCTTTCGAAATGCCCATCAAGGCAGACGAAGATGAGAAGTTCCTAGGCAAGATGTTGCCAGAGATATGCACGGAACGGTTGTCGTATGACCCTCTGGGATTCTATCACTGCAACGAGAGATTTCGACCTCTGCCTTCTAGGTGTGTCCCCATCAGAGATACCGAGGACAATCACTTTGCTGTGGTTGATATCACACATGGTCGTAATGTGGTCCTTGAAGAAGTCGAGGCTTCAAGAGCCTTCTTCACCCTGTACGATGGGGGAATATTCTTGCACCAAGGTCGGACATATATCGTGAAAGAGTTCTCACCTGAGCGCAAGATTGCCCGGGTTCAACTCGTCAAGGTGGACTGGACTACGCAGCAACGAGATTACACAGACGTGGATCCAATCGAAACCGAGCAGGTCCGTCGGGTGTCGGCCAACTCTCTCACCAAAGCATATTTCGGCCGCATCAAAGTCCACGCCGTGGTATTTGGGTTTTTCAAAGTCGACCAGAAGGGTCGGATTCTCGACGCAGTGGCTGTGGACAACCCACCGATTATCATCCACTCCAAAGGTCTATGGTTGGATATTCCCAAGTCGGCGATGCAGATCCTCAAGGACAAACGCTTGAATCTTGCGGCAGGAATCCACGCGGCCGAGCATGCATTGATGTCCCTGATGCCACAGTTTGTGGTCAGCATGCCCGGCGATGTGCGAACCGAATGCAAGAACGCGCTGAAGGAATTCGCAAAGAAGGAGACTCAGCGGAAGAGACCTGCACGGTTGACGTTTTACGACGCAAAGGGCGGACCCGCGGGCTCGGGGATTGCAGCGAAAGCATTCGAGTTTATCGACATCCTTCTCGAACGTGCCGTCGCGCGGGTCTCGGCGTGCCACTGCCTCGAGGGCTGCACGGAATGCATCTGCGACGAGAGGTGCAAGGAGAAGAACATGGTCATGAGCAAGGCCGGCGCCGAAGTCATTCTCAAGTCTCTCCTAGGTATGGAAATCGACGTCGATGCCCTGCCCGAGGGCGAGGAGGAGCGCGTTCCTGCCGGCGTCGAGACCGTCGTGTTTGCCACCGAAGTCATGGGCCGGGATGGACGGAGAGTGCCCGAGAAGGACTTTGTCAAGAAGGAAAAGAGTGATGACGATGCCATCATCATCAAGGATGAGCCTGAGGACTGAGGACTGAGGACTGATTGTCATGTCCATGAAGGCTGTCCTTTTACATACTTTTCATGCATAGATACCTACTGTCTGCATGTCTGTATGTCTGTATGTATATACGAACGAGGAATGAATGACGTGACAAAGATCTACAACATACAACCTACAACCAACGGTAGGCATGTGTGGATGTAAGTATCTTGTGAGCGAGTCAACTGAGCACAACAGAAAGAGACTCTATGATTTTCAACTCTGGCTTTTTCTTCTTCTTTTAAGAGAGTTTGCGGATTCACATCGACATCGATTGTAAGAGTCAACCATCGACCAGCCATGCAGTCATCTAGTGTAGATGATCTAATCTATCCATCGAGTTCATTTTACCATCTACCGATCTACCACGGATGAACAGACGAATGGATCTTAATCTCTCTTTTCGTGAGTATCATCCATCCAACCCCCTCGTCGCGTGGCGGACAAACGCTTCGGCCTCCCTTCTCACACTGGCGATATTGATCGCGCCGGTACCGTACGCGCGCGCCACCGCGGCCTGAACCTCCTCGTCCTCGTAGAGAGTGTCGTTGTCGACGTCGTCACCACCGACACCCGTACCTTCGCCCTCACGCTCGCGCTCAACGGCAACCACGGCGCGCCAGTACGCGTCGTCGCGGTCCTTGAGGGCCGGGTTGCGCACCACAGCGTTACGTGCGATCGAGTACGCGCGCAGATTCGTCGCGGCCATCTGCAGCGCCAGGTTGGCTTGCGTGAGGAGCTCGTCGGTGCGGCGGCGCGCGAGTTCCGCGTCCGCTGAACCAGGGCCCCCTGCTGATGTGGAGGGGAAGAGGTAGAACCGCCCCGTCGCCGACGCGTAGATGCACAGCGCCAGCGCGATGTCAAATGCGCATAGGCCGAGGTATCGCGCCGTGGTGCCGAGCCAGAACGTCCCCGCGGGGGCGACCGTGCTGATCGCCACGGGCGGCGCGTATGTCGCGGTCAAAAAAACGTCCGCGCCCGCGAGGACAAGCGCGCCAAAGACGGCGGCGCGGCGCCACGTCGACGCTTCGTACCCGCCCACGGTCTCCGAGGTCGCGAGGCCCAGGCACAGAACGTGGAAGAGGTGCGGGAGCACCGTGTTGGTCGGGAGGTGGTACAGCAGGTACGAGATTTGGTCGTCGGGGTGGCAGAACAGGCAGTCTCGCAGGGTCGACGGCCCGAAGCGGAGGTAGAGTTGGCGAAGGCTGTCACAGACGTTGTCGTTAGAATTCATATCATACACCATCAATCCGTCCGTCATTCTTATTCGCCGTGGCAATCTGGATCGAGTGGCGGTAGAGACGGAGGTGATGACGATTTTCTTTGTCGTTCCCATGATTTGTTCCGTGAAATCGGGAGGACAGGGAAAAAACTTACGCCGGTGAAGTCAACTTTGCCCTCAACGCCTCGTCCGCGGCCGAGAGCGCCCCGTTCTCGCGCAACATGGCCAGCCGCTCAAACAGCACGTCCGTCGGCACCGACAGCCGCGACTGCGTGGCCACAAAGACATTGTGGTCGGCGATGTCGCCTCTTAGCGGCCACGACGCGTACAGAAAGACGCATATCGACACGAACAGCGCATTCAGCCCACGGCTGGTCCGCTTCGGCAGGGGACGAGGCGGCGGTCTGGTGCGGTAGGCGGTCTTGAGGGCGGCGTAGTAGTTGACGGCGCGTGGGAGGACGAATGTGAACAGGAGAGGCCAGAATGGCTTTATGCTGTTTTCCTCAGGCAAAAACCACCAGTGGATATGTTAATCAATCTGGACTTTTATTCCCTCTCGCGGGCGGTGAGGTGACGAAAAACCCCTTTCGAGGGTATGGAAAGGAATAGGGATAGAGGAATGAAGGGGGTGTACGTGTGTTTGTAAGAGTGGGAGGCTTACCTGCTCCACAGCGTCATGGCTCTGAAGGCGGATAGTCGAGACTCATGCTATGAGTAAAGGGATTGTGTTTAGACAAGATTCCAAGTGTGTCTCGGTTTCTATTGACTGGGTAGCCAGTGCATGGCAAGGCGTGGGTATCTACGTCTGTCAGTATGTAGGGGTGATATTGATGTTTGAGACTAGCAGTGTCAAGAACAGATACGGAACAACAATGCTCCGAGGTCCGACGAGGCTGGTGCTTGACTCGCTGGCAAGGCTGGATCATAACGCCGTAGCCTTATAGTCGTGACTAAGCATTTTTCCACGTATATCACACCCGCTATAGACACATATTCCTCAAATCCAGTCCGATCCCAGAGGGTGGGCGACGGTCGCTCTAATCTGGTTGTAACTGAAGCCATTATCTAAGCCAATCCGAATCACGCTGATCGCCACGGAGCGCTCCCTGAGCACTTACTGAATAGGAGACTGTAAACCTTCAGACTAAATCAATCTCCATGGTTTCAATCGAAATGAAACAAGCGCGCATCAGAGCTTCGGCATCAGGTATTTGGACTCTGTTAGATGAACTTCCTTCTCGTGCCATTACCTCCAAATGCCCTAGACGGTGAAATTGCGTTTTTCCCGGGTCGACAGGTTTGACATGGATGAAAAGCCATGTGTGGTCTTCTTCCATTGACGCCAGCAGGATATAGTTTGGCTCCTGTTCCGTGACTGCACTGGACGAGGCGTTGTCCGCAAAGTACCTTCCAGTCAAGGGGAAGTTGGGGGTGTTGAATTTGTCGCTGAAGCCTTTGAAGACGGAGCATTGAAGTCTCAGCGTGGTCGGGAGGAGTTGTGATGGCTCAAGCAACAATACCGGGTGTACCTTTATACCGTCGGCAGCTTCCCGTGGCATCTGAACCGGATTTATGCTGTGTGCCCAAGACCAAGATGGTACAGAATCCAGAGGAATTTGTCTTTGCTTGTCTGCAGGGGCGACGCACCATCCCAAATCCAATGGAAGACCATCTAGAAAATGCCCGAATCGTGGTTCCGGCTTACCACAGATCCTCGATACCTGACTACCAAGTCCTATGAGCGCAGGTATTCTATCAGAATCCTTTGTCAGACCCAAGTTGGAGTGAATTTCAACCATGGCACGCCACCAGTTTCGGATATTCCGCTCTCTTTGGGCACTTCCGCCGCTCAAAGCGCGGTGATACGCGATCTTGAAAGGCATATTTGCATTCTGATGGCTGGGATCGTCGAATGCTATTGATTCTCTCCAAGCTTGTAAGCCATGAGAAAAGTTGAGGGCTGGTCCGGTTCTCGTGACGTCCAGGTCCGTAGCACTAGGGATTTGGTGAAACCCACATTCACAATTCAAACTCTCGAGGCACTCCCACATGATTTCTAGTGGCGTAAAAAGGACAAATCGCCGAGATAAGAGTCTCTCTTGCAGTACCCAGCCTCGAGTGAGCAAGTCCAACGAAGACGTAGGCGCTTTGGACGTAAGGGATCGTACAGACGGACAGTTCAAGTCGGGGTGTGTTAGGGCCTCTCTCACGTATATTCTGGTTTTGTCGTGTTGGATGCCAGAGACGCAAAACCCCCTGTGGGTTGGATCAGCTACCGAGAAGCATGCATTTTGCCCAGTAGCCGCCGCTACCGTCAGAATGGCTCCTTCATAGACCGAGCCCATCAATTTTGACTCTTTCTCCCAATCCTCGACACTATCCTGAATGATGCAGAGGCTGTCGATCCAGATATATCGGATCGGCATCGGGTCAGCATATTCGGTCCTATGCCAAGTTGAAAACTGCCTGGCAAACGTGATGGCGTCCTGAAAAGTCGGCGTTATCCAAATCCAAGGAATATTTTCTTTGAGAGTGCTTATATTGCGCAGGGTACATCGTGGCATGTGATCTGTATCAATCCATCGGTGGCTGAGACAGAGATAATGCCCTCGAGCTCCATTGCTTTCCACCAATGCTAGCTGATCTGCCTTTGTAATATCGATCACTCGTGTGGGCAACAAAGGTGCGTCAGCGCCATTCCCACAGGCTGGATGGTCGGCATTGCATGTTTTGAACCATGAGAAGACCCTCGAGAATGCTTCCGGAGAACCAGTGTTTGCGGAAATTTGAGTCTGCCGAGGGGAGTTTTTGAGGAAGAAAGGCAAGTCATCATCATGGCCGGGTTCGGAAGGGCTAGACAAGCACGGGAGCCAAGACAGTCTTTGGCGTGCTGCAGGCATCTTGAAGATTTCCAGCTTGATATGCACCGCCTCAGACAGTGTGGTTTGGATATATGCATGAATGTATGCACCGCGGGCATTGTGTTCACTGTTGTACATGACATTTCTGGCTGCGGTAATGCCTTTCTTGTCCCGTAAGAAGCCGAGGAAAGCCATGAAAAAGCATAATGTTCGACAGCCATAGCAGATGTCTTGCTGGCGCGGCTCAGTCAGGCGTGTGTCGGGTTTATGCTGTTCCCAATCACTATTATCAAGTCTCCCAAGACTTCCACTTATATTGTAATTGAGATACGGAAAGTAAGAACGGCAAATCTCACAGTCGTCCTGAGTATAAACCCAGACCCGTGGACGGAGCCGCAGTAGTCGACAGAGGGCCTCAAGATGTTCCGATACAAATCTGGGTGTATATGCCTGTTTTTTGGGCGACGAGCTTTTCCTGTTCATTTGTCTGAGACGGCTCAGACCCGTCGACTCGGTGGTCGAGAAAGGCATCGTTATGAAGAGACCACTTGGTAGAAGGGTGTGTCGCCGCACATATGTCGATCAACTCGAGGCTGAGCTGCCTGAGACGAATGTTGGAATCTGTGATATCTGGGGCCTTGGCGGGGAAACAGTCCCAGTCACATGATGATTAGTTGATGTGCCCAAATGCACCTTTTTGTGGAATTCTCTCAAGATAGCAAAAAGCCTTACCCTGTATCTCTCTGCCTTTCTGTTGCGGTGTGTTGAAGAGCGAACTCGAACTGGGCCCATGCATGAATACCTCACAATAAATCACGTCTTGGAATTGGTATACGCCAACATGCGGCTAGATATGTAGAGAGCATGGAGAATCCATCAAGTGTTTCCTTGCCTGGTTTGATAATTGACCCTGCGCAGGATGAGGGAGCGCTGCCCAGCTGTACAGCCAACTCCAGATTCCAAACACTCTTCGCTACCTGCGCCTCACACAAACTCCTCGCTAAGCCTTTCAAGTTCGTCAAGGGTGTGCCAAAAAGCTCTTGCAGTCTTCTCAGGTAGCATATTGCGGAAGCACCACCCTTCTTCAGGCCGTGTCATTTATTCTTTGCACTGCCTGACCCCTCTTCGGTCTTTTTAGCTGCCGCTGTCAGACTGGTCAGTCGGTTGTCTCGTGTATATAGGCTGGAAAGTCGCTGTGTGCCCACCTTTTGCTTGTTTTTCTCGCATAATGGCTGCTTGGGCTTCTTTCGTCCGCTGAAACTCGGTGCCGGACTGTGTATTTTTCTTTTTCTGTAATCGGATACCCGTTAGCCCAACATCACACAGCTCCGCGGTCTTGATTCGACAATGCCGGGCGCAAATCTGAAGGTGTGTCAATTCGCACCTGTCCAGACTGTTCCTTGATGTTCTTCTCGCGAGCCTTTTCTCTTTGGTTTCCTCGAGTCATGGCTGTGATGGGTGAGACAGAGGCAACTTTTTGGTCTAAGTTGGAGTTGGATACAAGAGACGGTGCAGTTGCGTTGTCGCTAAGTAGCTGCGAGCAGTATGAGGGTGAAGGAGTGGGAGCGCAAGAGGGAGAGCAAAATTAGTTGGTGAAGACCGCAAGTCTGAGTGAGATGAGCCTCCCACAGAGCCGCAGTTTCTCGGAAAAAAGAAATCGCGCACCGACTCGGCCTCATCCGCAGCCAGCCCTACACCAGACACCTTTGTTTCGCCCTCCCACCTCCACATACTTCACTTACACGACAATCTCCAGTCTCTTTGTCAGTAAAGTGTTACTCTGATCGCCGACGGACTGCTTCTCCCAAGATCTCATACAAGGTTGTCGCATACCTGAGATGCACTTGGCGTCAAGGGTCCCCAAAATGGAAACGCGCCCTCAAGTGCGTTTCAGGTTTGGCCGACCCTGAATCGTCGTTCAACCTCAGCCACTCTTTCTCCTCGTCTCTCCCCAGCCTGAGGAAGACATGGCATCTGCAACAGCTGCATGATTTTGGACCGAATTGGGCATCACTTGACTCGATCTCTCGGGATAACGCCACAGGTGGGAGCGTCTTCGTTTCTGAAACCGAGTTTGAAGACTTCTCCGACGGCACACCAACTTGACCAATGGACACGTCCTTCCCGTGAGTGATGCGAACCAGATACTACAGCTTCATCTCGCGCTCGCGCTTATGACGGTGGTGACTCTGAGACCCTATTTCTCTCCAGACCAGATCAATGGGTAAAAAGATGGAAAAAGACCGCTGAAGAATAATTCATTTCTGCCGCTCCCTCCTCGAGTGTTGGCCACTATTCCTCTTTTCCCATGTACATTCACTTCTATTGATGGTCTGGCTGTTCAATAGCCTGCTGTCATCCTATTGTTCTATTCATCAAAGCGTTCGAGCCTGTTAATTGAGCCTACAAATATCTTTTCTTACACAAACCCTGAACATTTTCATGATACCCTGACCTGGAAATAATCATCATCTCCCGAAATCTACACGATAGGTATTCATTCGACTTAATCCAAAAGCAAACTGCAACATGCGCTTCTTCGGCAGAACCCTGGCCGGCGCTGGCTATATTGTGCTCAACATCATCCGAGCGATGAACATAACTGCTCTTTTGGCCGTCATCGCGGCAAGTTCGGTCATGCTGGTCAAGACCTTTATTGTGTCCAAGTTTTTCTTTTTCGATGCCTGCGAGCACGTTCTCCGAGTCGTCATGAGTGGTAAGTTCCCAGATTGTGACGTGGCGGCCGGGTTGTGGTGCTAAGATGTGTCAGGATTCCTCATCCTCACCGAACTCTCTCTTTTCAAGTCATTCTTTTCCAAGAATTGGCCTCTATTCAGCGCCCGGTCGAGTTTTGTGATGCTTGGGCTTGCAATGATCTTCCTGGGGAACAGTCTTCTCGGAAATCTCAACAAACACGCCACCAGTCAGGAAAGCCTGGGTCTACCATTCTGGCGGCTGGTGATAGCAGCTGGAATCATTGTGTTTGTGATGGGCTTCATCAACCTCTTTGCAGTAAGCAGATGGGCATCGAAAATCAGAGATAGGCACTGACCCAAACTTGCAGAGCTATATTTTCAGAGACACCAAGGCGCATCTCACAGCGCGACAAGTCCGATCCCACGGCGCGGTCGCATCACACAAAGCAGACGTCGAGGCTTCCACTCCAAAACCGCCGAGCCGCAAAAGTCATTACCGATCGTTCTTCCTAGGCAAGCGAGACTCATTACCCTCGTATTATTCTCGCAAGAACACCGATCGTGCCAACATGGCCGAGACGCCCAAGATGCACCTAGCCATTTCGAGTCCTTTCCCACAAGATCAACCTCTAGTCCGCAGTGCGCAGAGCCCTGGTGGAGCCAGCTCCAAGTACAGCCAAAGTCCCAAGAGTGAGCGATATGCCATGAGCCCTGAACTCAACCGGCCAGATTTGGCCCATCATCCTGCCATGACACAAGGCCATGCTATCTGAAGTGTGGACAAAAAACAGGAACGGAAACATATCTGAGGGTTAGTGAGGGAAACGACGATGATATGGCTTGATCTCCATGGCATCTACACGCATGAGAACTTAAGTCAGTGGTGACCAGGAGCTTCAAAGGGACCAACAATGGGAGCCGTGGATGTTTTGCTTTTCTTGAATCTTGTAACAGATACCCAGACCCAGATGGCAAGAAATAATCAGACAGTGATGAGTTATGAACAGCAATCAATCGACCCCTGAACAGTGCTTGATGTCTGTCTCTCATGCAGCGGTGCTCAGTCCGCAGTGTTTATTTTACAAGGCTTGATTCCAAGAGGCAGAGGATTCACACCCCAGCCAGTCAGACGGAGAGCGACGCCGTGACACCGTTCGGTTATACCAGTCGGGGAAGAGGGACGCACGAGTCTAGGGTCTCGACCAGCCTATCCGTTTTGACATGTGTTGTTTCCGACTGTATCTCTTGGTGCAATTTGCCACTGTCGCTCTGGGCCTTTTGTCCCATCTCCCTTGTCCACCCATCTCATCCTATCCCACCTTTTCTCCTTGTACCTCTGTCCGTCTCTGTATATCTATCTCGCTGTGTACCCCGTCACCACTCTATGGATTCGTATCCTACGGGTATTGATATGCCTTGTCGACTTTTCTCTACTTGTACTTGTCCCCTGTAGCTGTACTTTTACTCGTAGGTATCCCATATGTACCCCTCCTGGATGTAATATGTCTATGTACATGGACTTGTACTTGTACTTGTACTAGGCTACGTCTGACTTCGACCCTTTGGAATCCCTTTTCCAACCCCCACTCCCCTTTTCCGGTCTACCTTGTTGCCTTGCGTGCTCGCGTTAGGAGAAGACAAGACAAGCCACCAAACGCACACTATGCGAACCAAAGCCCAACCATCCACGCCCCCCCTGACGCCTGACCCCTCCCCTCTCTCCTCCAACTCCTCTTTACGCCCCCATGCCATGCACACCAAGGTACTTACCGAGTACCTTGTCCACTAACTCGTCCGTGGCTCATGTACCATCTGTGCCTTACCTCGATCAGGACATCTGGATACCCAGCAAGGCAAGTCGCAGGTCGATTTCGTGGACCAGCAATTGCGAAAATCGCCACTCGGGTGGGGTTGTTGTGGTTGTAAGCCATTGAAAGCCACCACCCCCTCACCCTACCTACATCGGTACTCAGGTAAGTACTCGGTACTCAGCCGTGCTTGCAAGGCTTGCGGCCCGGCGGATATATTTTCCTTGCGAGTTTGCTCGTGTCCATACATACTTGTCCTTGTCCTTGTCCTTGTTCTTGTACTTGGGGAATTGTAGTTGTAGATGTGGAGTCTCCTAGCAAACCAGCAAGCCAGCTAGTGGTCGTTCTAGCGAATGGATCGAGGTTCTACGAGATGCCTGCTCGAGCAGAGCGTGGAACACAGCCGCTGGAGTACTTGTGCTTGTATCGAGTACTCGTAAAGTAAGGCTGAGCTAGAGAGGAGCAGCTGAGCTTTCAGCTCTCAGCTTTTCCCCCCTCCCCTCCCTCTAGCTACCTACCTACCAGATCTCGTAACCCAACTCGTACTCCCTTGTCCTTAGTCCTTCCCGTGTCCCTCTCCTTTTCCCTTCCTCTTGTCCTTCTGCTTGTGCATCTACTCTTATCTCTCCTGCCGCTTCCCGCTTGCCATTCGCCATTCCCTATCCAGGCCTAAGCCACCAACCACCAGCCGCCGCCCGACCGCCCGCCCATCCGCTTGCCTTTCCCCTCGTCGCCGTTACCACCACCACCGCCGCCACCATAATTTGTCCAGAGGGTTGAGTTTTCAACCAGTCTGCCACGGTGAGAGAGCGAGGCGGCACAAGTCAACCCGAATGGGATATTATGGACCGGATACTCGTAGCCTTGGAGGTACATAGGTCGAGTGGGTAGGCAGTGTAAGCACATGGCATGGTCGGTGTTGGGTCCGTCGACACTACGAGGTTTGCACCTAGGTATGAACTGGATAGCGAGGTATGTTGGGCACAGAAAAAGAGCCGCATCCTCTGATACCCTTCCTGTTACCCGATGTGGACTTGTACATGTACGTGCACCGAGCAACATGTACGTGGACAGACGTGATAGGTAGATGCGACAGCAAGCTCTCAGTAGACACTCGGTTGGCACTCGGTACGTAAGTACGTAAAGTACGTACTACAGTATCCCTCCTCATCTCCCGCCCCGCTGCTCTCCCTTTCCCTCTTCCTTCTCACTTCCCTCTAGGTCCATGTATCTGTCTGTGTATATCCATGTAATCTGAACCTTGTACTGAGTAGAGAGCCCTGCATTCCGACATGCTACCTGGTACTTTTGTGGTATCCATACTAGCGGTGTCAATACTGGGTGTCAGTACTCGTGCCACTTCTGATACTTCTGTTTTCATGTCAAGGGAGGTAGAAGTGGTGTTTGAAACCATTTCTTCAACCGTATATGCGAAAGAAAGATAGAGAAAAAAAACACCCTGTGGTACCATCGTCACTATCTGAGAAGACTGAGTACCCGAGTACATTGAACGTGGGCCTGTCTGGGTCCCGAATAATATCAAAAATCCCAAGTTCTCCTCGATGCAATTCGTATATGTCATTAACGTCGTCCTTTGGTTGTTGGCACACAACACACGAGTCGAGAGGCGTCCATAATCATGTCAACAACAGTGCTCGGTGGCCCGTAGGTCAAAGTATACCCAGAAATACCAATCTCCACCCCAATCCCAACCCGTCTATTCCCATTCACCACATTCCGCGCTTTGCTGCTTTTCTCTCACCTCTCAAGTAAACATCCAGCTCGTCCTCTTCCCCGCCGGACTGCGGCTCTTACTCTTCTCCCGCACCACGTACATCTTGTCTCCCTTCTTCACAAACGCGTGGTCGTTTGGCGTGAGTGTCGTGATCGTCTTGGTCTCCTTGACATACGGCCCCGTGATGAGTTTCCGCTCCTTGATTTTCCGCGTGTGCTCAAAGAGTTCGTCTTGTAGAGAGTGGTCGATGTATTTCTTGATAATGATAAATTCTTCGTCGCGCTGCATGTCACATGTGTAAACCGGAAGAGTTAGCAAGACAACACCCCCAAATTGGTTACACGGATCTGTCCGCGATGCTGAGCAGAGCACAGACCGGACAACAGCAGCCGGGGCAAGACAACGTGTAACATGTAGGAAAAGATGAGTGGTACATACCGGATCCCATTCCCAAGGCAACCCGTAATGATCCAGCGTATCCGGGAGGAGATACTTGCGGTTGACCTTGATGTAAGTCGGACGGTGGAGGTCGATGGCCAGTGTTGCACGCTCGGCTTTCTTCTTGTGGAGCACCTCGTCAATGTACTCTGGACTGTAACCTGTAATTCCAAAAAGAGTGACACAGATTAGCCTCGTGCTCAGTCCAAAATCAACCCATCCCAAGCCATCCCCCCCAACGGGAGGGCTTCGTCCTGAACCATTGCAAGGCTTGTAGAGACCATGCGTGGCTAGGGACGACTAGTAGTAATAGTAACGGCGATAGGGCCTGCGCATACCAGCATTCATGAACTTCTCCTTGACCTTCCTCTCGAATTCCTCCTCCTCGGCCTTCTTCTTCTCCTTCTCCTTCTGTTGACGTTCCTCCTCGTCCCGCAAAATCTTCTTCCTCAATTCCTCCTGCTCCTTCTTCTTGCGCTCCTCCTCCAGCTTAGCCTCGTAGAGAATGGCCTCACGCTCCTTCTTTCTCCGTAGAGCCTCTTCCTCCTCTTCCAACTTCCATCGTCTTCGCTCTTCCTCGCGGTCTTTCTTTATCCGATCGAGGATCCGCTTCTCCTCCTCCTCTCGGTGTGACATGCGGGCAAAGTCGAGTTCCTTTCGGAATTTGTATGGTAGATCGTCTTCTTCGATCGGCTTGGTTTTGGCTGGTTTGTGACTGGAGCGACGGCGGTGTCGTGATCTTGATCGGTCGCTCGAGCAGCTGGAACTGGAAGACCCGTCGCGGTAACGGTGGTGACGATATTCGCGGTGACGACTGCGACTCCGACTGTGATCACGATCACGATCACCTCGCTCAGAGAGGGCACCTGCACCTATATTGACAATCGTAGGTGCCACGCCTGCGCCTTGGCTGGATGCACGAGGGCGGCTTTGTGGCACCTCGAGGAAATTATTCACCTCAATGGGCGGCTCGTAGGTACGGCGACCTCGTCCTCCATATTCGCTGCCTGCGACACTGTGGACTGGCATCAACACATATTCCCGGTCAGACCCCGACGAGCGCCGGGAGTAGGGCATAATGGTTTCGATGATTGTAGCCGTACTGCCGTAGTACCCCTCCAACTACTAGCGTACTTTCAGCCCTGGCACAAGAGGCACGGATCAGATCGTAGGAGCGGTGGCGGTGGGGTAAACGCCCGATTGCTGATGGATATCCCGGGCGCAACGGTCACAACGGTGAATAGTTGGAAGGATAAGGTCCAAACCACTAAACAAACTTTCGATCTGGTGATATCGGTGTCGATCTTGTTCGCTGGGGAGTTGTGAGGAGAAGAGAAGAAGAAAAATCAATCACGGTAATTCAGCTCTGTGGTGGGGAGGCTGCTCGCTTTTATCGTTTTCGTGCAGCAAGCCAGTGCGGCCAATTTGAGCCTGGATCGCAACCCACAAAACAGAACTTGGGGGCCGGGAGGACTAAAAAGGTCGACTGTCATGTATGGTATGCTGGCGATAGCTGAGTCAATCGAAACCCCGGTCGATCCAATGATCGCCTGTCAAACGAAATTTCAGGTTCGTAACGCCATGGCACTTTTGTCTGAAACAAATCACGAGGTCGTACCGCCAGGCCTCTTGTGTGCAATAGGTCTGAGATTTGTTTGAGCAGTCTCCTGGACACCAAGGCCGCCTGATGGCTATACGAATACCTGACGATCTGAAAAACGGAGGATATCTATGCTAAGTATATCGATTGCATAAAAGGTTGGTGTCAATTTCCACCCCTAGGTCAAACCAATCTGGCGGCAATGGACCGCCGTGGTTTGGTGGGCCTATGGAGGCCTGAATGCACGTCTGCTCGAGCCTGCGTCATTTGACATGCTTAGGTTTGGTGTAAAAGGTGGTCTTTTGCTTGCTCGTCTTGAGGCCCGACAGGTGCCAGGAGCATCCGATATTACGAGCAGTCCCCGTGGCGCATGGACGAGTAAAGCAGCAGTTGACTCTCCACATCTTGTCAGAGTTGCCACTGCCGCCTCGGGCATATTCAGGCATGTTCGCTGGGGAATGGCGGGCGTATCCCGTTGGCCAGCAGTGGTGTTGGTCTTTTAGCTATTATGTCAGCGACCTGCTTGTAGGCGTGATCCGTTGCCAGGATCCTGTAGAAGATGCGTATGTTTATGACAAAATCATCCCTCTAGCGGCAAGATATCCAGATATCGGCGATCAGCATGAGTAGCAATCACACCGATGGAGACGTATTCTTGAACCAGGATATTGGCGCAAGAATCCGTCTCGTGATGTTTTCGTGATTGTCTGAAAGCTACAGACTCGAGCGACATTGCCAATGTATTCAGGTGAATCTAAGACCACATCGTCCCGGAAATGACGCACAAGAGAATGCCGGAGTGCAGCTCGATCCAGGAATGTCCTCCTCGTGCAGCAGGTGTGTTGGCATTGGAGCAATCTAGCCTGTGTTGAAATCCACACGCTCTTCAATCGAAAGGGCCCATCACGATCGACCACCAGTCTGTAAGATCTTCTCAATGTGCTGTCGACTGTTCTTGTATGTAGTCTCTTGGTAATGTAATTTCTTCTCCAGATCCGTGATGTCCTTGCTCAGAGATGCTGCCTCGGAAGCCAAGCGCTTGTTCAGAGTCGACGGAGGAACGGCGATGAACCTGAGAGCCAGAATTGTCAGAGAGAAAGCGCAGGCCGTTGGCGAAGGAGTTTCATACATTTTCCCAACCCCTTCATAGACATTTGTGTCTTGTGACAAAGATTTCAGCTCATTGGCCGTCAGTTGGTTGAGTCGAGCATCTCTCCGTTTGGCACTCAATTCTGCCTGCGTTTGCGTGATCTTTTGTTGGGAAAGCAGCGCTTGAGTCTCGACTTCTTGAAGCAACTGCTAGTGGTGAGTAGAGATGGACGATTCGGTGAAGAGGGATCAGACCTTTTGCAACGCAGCGTTGGGAATGGCCATCTTGGATGAGTACAACGTGCTAGCCAGTGGAAGATGATGTACAGTTTTTGAGCCTCAGTTTGACTAGATTGGAAGATTACAACATCCGCACTTCAGGGTTACCGTTCTAGGCAACTTGGAGTACACGCGCCCAGCCAACACCCACAAGCATTCGAGGGGTACCAAGGGCCTAGGTAACTACCGAGGGGCTACTTAGACCCGATGCAGACGTCGGCTTTCCGAAGTTTAGGTGGCGAGGGGTTGGCTGCGATCGCCCCCGGGGCTCTTGAGCCGTTCAGGACCTGGACTTCCAGGCATTGCTTCACGTGTCAGGGCAGCAAATGATCTGCCTGAGGCTTCCTCCTTAGGCCCTTTAGCTGCCTAGCTAAGCTCTAGTTAAGCTGCATCGGGCCCGGCGACGTCATTTGGGTGTCATTTGCCCGCTTGCGAGATAAACAAGTTTATCACCGCAGCTCCACCGCGAACGTTTTTGTGCGTTGTAAGCCCTCGCTTTACTTAACTGCGAAACCCACCTTTTCCATCCGCATCCGTAGCCACCATTAATTCCCTGACTGAGGACCGGTGCCTCTTATAATCCTGGGAACTACCTCCTGGTCGCTATGTTTTCGACTTAACTCCCAGGCTCGAAACGACCGAAAATCTGTACAGCATCTGTCTCGTTACCAGAATGCCCGCATGGCTTCCCTCCATCCCATATCCCCCGCCAGGCCAGCCGGGGTACTGGCATCCCGTCACGAGCACTTTACAGTGGTGTGAAGAGGTACGGCGGACGCTATTCTCTTGAATTACTGAGTTGTCGAGGCTGACACGAGAAGGATTATTACGCCACGTACTACTCCGCCGAGATCATCAACACTCTGACCAACCTTATGTTCATCTACCTGGCATACAAGGGAGTTCAGAGCTGCAGAAAACATGGGCACGATACCGTATTTCAAGTGGCATATTTTGGGTATTTCCTGGTTGGATTTGGCAGTTTCATGTTTCACACCACCTTGAAATGTAAGTTGGTGCATGCAAAGACCAAGTACATCCCCCCTATTCGATCGCTTGATCTGACCCAACCTTGATTCCCAGATCCGTGGCAGTTGGTCGACGAGCTCAACATGATATACACTACTTGCCTCATGGCCTTTGCTTCCCTGTCCTACTCGCAACCTAGACAGATACAAGTCTATCTCGGCGTCTTCTTAGTGCTATTCTGCGCCTTTATTACCGCCTACTACCATTACCTCCAAGATCCCGCCTTTCACCAGATTGTCTACGCCTTGTTGACCGTATTTATCGTCTTGCGCAGTGTCTACAGCATGGAAACGAGTCTGCGACCGTCGTTGAGGAAATCCGAAGAAAAGCACCGTCTGGAACGAGAGAGGTTAGGCCTCTCGGTGGACGTTTCAAGAGAACAACAAGAATATGAGAATCAAAGAGACCTGGAAATCCTAAGAACAATGTGGTGCTTGGTGGCGTTTGGGGTGAGTGTCTTCCTTGGCGGCTTCTACATCTGGAATCTGGATAATCAGTACTGTTCCACGCTGATACGTTGGAGGCGGAGTATCGGCATGCCGTGGGGTTTCTTCCTCGAGGGACATGGCTGGTGGCATCTCATGACCGGCATTGGCGCTTATTGCTATATTGTGTGGGGCATACACCTTCGACACATTCTGAACGGAGATCAAGAGCACTTCCAGATGGTCTGGCCCAGCATTTTCACGCTGCCAGAAATCGTGCGAGTATCAGATCCGCCGGAGAAGGAGAGCAGCAAAGCAAATGGTGCTGCTACTGCCAACGGGAGTGTCCATGAAGCTGCCAACGGAAATGTAAATGGGAGTGCAAATGGCTACAGCAAAAAGACCAAATGATGTATATGAACATATCAAGACACGCAATGGATGAGCTGAGCTGTTGACTTGGATTCCGAGAGGAACCCTCTTCGCTCTTTCTTCCACCCACCCTTCTCCCTCCCCTCGTTTCTGAATAGTGAAGTGCCGGCGATGTGCTGCTGTGTAGGACCCTTCGACCGGAATCCTCGGATGCGGCTTGACGAAAGACACAAGCACCTTGACCTCATTCCCAAGTGCATGTGTTGTGTCCGTGCCGTGGGATACATACTCGGTACATACATACATACCTATGCACAACTTTACGCCAACCTAGAGCGAAGAGGGAAACCCCACAAGTGCCCACGTCCCGATCTCCGAACGAACCAAAGCAGCGCGAGGCTGGTCTGTGCCCTATCAAACATAACAAATACTCGCACTTGAACAACCCCCAAACCGTGACCATTAAGGTTCTTTACTTTTTCTATCTACAAAGACAAGGACTAGCAAAAGGGGGGTCAACTTTGGGACAGAGATGTGCGAAGGCGTCTGCAATGGAATATACTCCCGTTGTCTTCCCTGGGCCAAACATTGGACAATTCCAATCTACTCCCCGAATTGGCTTCTGGGAAGTCCACCAGTCGAAAAGTCTCATCTGGTCTTATTCCAATCTAGTGAGACGCTGTATCCAGAAAAGGAAGAAAGAGAAGAAGAAGAAGACGAACGGAATAGGTGAGGAGGAGCTCTAGCAGAGAAATTTTGTTGTTCGATTGCGCCTGGTCTTATTGGTCCTGTATAACCCCTTTCTTAGATGACACGAAAGCTGTCGATATATTACGAATGGGAAACCCCTTTCCATCTATCACCCCCCAATTTTGCGATTTCGGGAACAAAATAGAATGCCGCCTAATGTCCCCAGCCCTGAAAGGCAAGCTCCTCTCGATTCCCTAGTATATAGAAAAGGTACAAAAGGTGAAACGAGGTACGATATACCCAGACTCGTCATCTCAGAAGAAAGAAAGTGAATCGTCAGAGTGTCTCGTCTCTATGGTATCAAAATGCCCTCGCATACACGGCGATCGACATCTGAGACTTGCCGCAAAGGCCCACGCTCTGCCCGTAGCACGGAACGCAGTTGGACAGCAGCGTGACGGTGCCGGTGATGGCCGCGCCGCAGTAACAGTCGGCGGTGGCCCCGGAGGCGGCGCTGACGGTGCCGAAGAAGTTGGCGCCGTTCTTGGTGATGCAGATGCGGGCGCACTGCGCGTCGATGTTGGCCGTCGCGCTGCCCGTCAGCGTCGCGTTGAAGCCGCCGTTGGTGCTCGGGCTGTCGAACCCGTAGTTCCCCAGCGCGACGCACGTGCCGGCCGAGTTGCACCGCTGCGCCCAGCAGCCCAGGTAGGCGAATTGGATCGAGTCTGCACCCTTTGGCCCTGTTGCGCCTGTCGCTCCGGCAGGGCCTGAGGGGCCTGATGGTCCTGAAGTCCAGATGGACCAGAGGGCCCTTGAGCACCGGTGGCACCTGTTGCTCCTACGAGAAGGTCCGTGAGTGACGATCAAGAAGAGGGTGGAGGGTTTTTTAGGCATATCGCCAAGACGTTTTCTCCGAGTGACTTACCAGTAGCTCCGGTCGGACCTGGGACACCCTGGTCTCCCTGTACTCCTAAATATTGAAGCGTCCGTCAGTGTATGTTCTTTCGAAATATCTCGGGTGAACACCATAGGTTCGGAATGGTCCTCGTTCATGCGACATTTTCCACTCGCGATGCCCCTTCGCAAGATCAAAACCGAACTCCTCCGTATGTAGCAGAATTGGACTCGGTCTTGTGTGGATTTGTCGAGAATGGGACTTGCATGATCTTGGCGGTTGGTAGTCGTACCTTGTAATCCTTGAATTCCTTGTACTCCTTGCGCGCCTGAGCAGATATTGTTAGTTCATGTGGCCCCGAACACGCTTGAAATGCACGAAAGATGACCGTTGCTTACCGGTTGCGCCTGTGGGACCTGTCGGGCCCGAAGGGCCAAAGACGACTCAAAATCAGTATGAGAACACTCGGTACAACAAGGATAGCTGGGAGGTCGAGCGACGCCGACATTGCAGAGCTACCTCGGTCGAAGCAAGACTTTGCGAGACCCAAGCACGGAACGAAAGTCGACAACATTCCACTTACCCGGACGGCCCTACAGACTGTCAGCATCTGAAGCGTAGCTGGTATGTTCGAGACTTACCTGCTGGTCCGCTTTGTTGTGGAGCTCCCACAGCTGCAGCGCAGCTACTGACTCGTGTCATGCTCAGGCTTACAAAAAGACAATCGGATGGCGCCACCAACGGGTCGCTAAAGACGGCCACAATGGTATTGTCAGGAAGGACACAAAATCTTGCCCTGTTGTTGTAAAACGCGGCATTACTCCACATGAGGTTGTTTTGAGTGTCGACTGAAAAGGCAGTGGTGATATCTCCGGGGCTCGCACTGGCTGTGAAATTTGCATATGTTGTTCCAGAAGTGGTACCGAATTGCAAGGCTCCGGCACTGGAGTTCGCAAACAGCTGCCCATTGACCAGATTATAGACCACGGCATTCTGGCAGCTATCTGTAGCTTGTCCGGTTCCGCCGAGGAATACGTTTCCCTGGCGCTTTCTGAAGCGATCATTACCCTGAGATTGGAGCACCATCATAGATAGCATGAATGAATAACTCTCCACGTAGGAGAAAGAGGGTGATGAGTGGCTTAGGCAGTCAGTAGGCGTTGGAGGTTCAGGGACCAAATACTTACGTGGTGTATGCTAAAGGGAGTTGGGAAATTTGGTTCGACTGTGTTATGAACACGGAGCTTGTGCCTGTATATATAGTGTTGATGCTTGTGGGAGCGTTGGTGATGTCCAGCGTCAGATAGTCATAGACCTTTAGAGTAGTGTTTGCGTAAAAATAATAATCAATGCGTATCTATGAAACCCCTTTAGCGACTGGGAAAAGAATACATGGAACTTACTCACAGGGACCAAGACCAGAACTTTTGTGACAACCACTTCAACCGAGCAGTTCTGGTCCGCTCGTCGTAGCACATTTCGGGGAATAGGCTGCGTTGACTTCTTCACGATTCTGTTCTCCACAGCACTGGGAATATAAGTTGCGAAACTATTTCTGGTTAGGGAACGCAAAGTCAAGAACCAGACAGCGATAATCTCCAGCAGAAGCATTGTGGATGGATACAAAGCCCCACTCAAGGGCCAATGAATGACTGAAACGAATGACTAAAAGACACAACTGCTAGAGAGGAAACAAGCGCAGACAGAAGAACCTGATATGAGAGCTGAATATATTCGGCAAGATACCAATAAACGGCCTGACAAGGGCTGGAGCCTCGCGGACCGGACAACCCGAAGGCGTGCCAAATGAAGAATGGAACTATTGCCAATGCTGCGGCCATCATCATTCACTTCGACTCTATCATCACCCTCCCATATTGCGTTGAAAGCCGGAATGCTTGTGTTGCGGGAGGAACGCGCATTGGGCAGGCGGCACGCGCCACCCATCGAAAGTATGATAGATGAAACTGAGCAGGGACATGCCTTTTAGCATCGCATAGGCAAGCTATAGCCTTCTCGTGAGATCGTAAAATGGTATGAAGGTCAGTCCTGATGGCGAGTGTAGTTGAGAGAAGAACAAAATGCGGGAGGCCGAGAGTTCAAAGAGCGTGACTGGCTTGGCGCGTCTTTCCGTGTCTTGGCGCTCCGCTGCCTGATGCCATCCATTGACATGTACAAGTAACTCGGATACGCCTGAGCTGCACCCCTTCAGTAGTGCCAATAGAGAGAACCGCTGTTCCTCCAACAATGGAAGCCATGGCGCCGTGAGCTCAGCAAGGGCACATTTCTATGCCACTTCACCTCGTCCGTATCATCCACTTCCCAAAAATAGTCCCAGTTTACTGTCTTCACTATCTCAGTCGACCTTCCCGCCACAGTTTGTACCTTTGAGACTTCCGAGGCACAATCGACTGGCACATCCCCAATGGCCGGGCCTCCACCAAACCCAGCTACCTCTTCGAACTTCCTCTCTACGCGCCGAGCCCTCTTCGACACCCTCGCCTCTTTCCTGACTGTGGCAACTCATCACATCCTCTATCTACGTCGAATCTATCCACCGCTTTCATTTCTCGCCGCCAGGGCATATAACTGTCCCGTTCGCCAGAATCGTCATCCTGCAGTCTGTACGTGGGTCAACGACGCCGTCGCTGCAGTCCGTGATCAACTCGACAAGAACACTGTCGAAAAGGTTTTGCTGTGCATCTATGAATGTGAGAGCAATCGTGTCCTCGAACGCTGGACATTTGACCTTGGATCTTTTTCTTCGACTGGTCAAGATACCTCAAATATCCAATTCGAGTCCACTCCGCCTGATGATGGCGACCTGCTGAGTGACCAAGTCAACCTGGCCGATCTAGAAGCCAACTTTCGCGCTACCTTGTCTCGGATTAGCACATCGGCAGCCCGACTTAGACCCCTCCCTGAGGGCCCTGGCGCTCCTGAGTGCAGCTTCACGCTAGCTATTGAGGTCAAGGACCGGGCTGATCGTCCCGTAGGGCGAATTGAGAAGGAAGAGCGCAAGTGGATTGCGGCAGAACCACAGCCAAACCCGTCGTCTTCGACCCCAGGATCCGCAAAAGATGAAAGAGCATCGACCACTACGTCCCCACGAACACATGCGGTTCGCCGTGTTGAGGTAGGAGAGCTGCAAATGGAAGTCTGGGTGGAAGAAGCAGCAGCCAAATTTGAGTTTTCCCTCCCCTCAACGTCGTCCGGATCATCGTTACCTCCAGAACAGAGAGCAGCAAATATGTCCTACGGTGCAGGAAAAGAGAAGTTTGATCCAGAGAACATGTATGCCTACGATCTCGAGCCACCGGACGTCAACCGCAAACCGCAAGGGGGAGCCACGACAGACTATCAACGAGGTTGAGTCACGCCATCGCTGGCATGTCATCACGCAGTTTAATTCGGGAATTCAGTCTGTGTGGGAATAGTCACAATTGTCGAGGGCTGAAATCAATGCAACCAGACATAGTCGTCGCAGGAGATGACGGCAGAGTTCCTACGAACTAGTCCCTTACCATTGCTCTAACTGGATCGGCGAGGCATTCCACATTGAGCGCACTCAGGAATGATATCTCAGGCGCCACCACTCTCCATCAACTTACAGTATATGGCTGCGCAGTATGATGGGGCCGATGCGCCATGAAATCGCCGAAGATGGTGTCACACTTTCTATATCCACTCCTCGAGATCTACTCCTGTTCGACATCAAACGGATTTGCGAGATATGATCCAGGCTTCAATGCCGGTGACACGGTCTACAGGGCCTCAACCGCTACATGCCACGCGTTTATATCTCTGTAGCCAGAGCTAAAGGCTGATGCCATAAGATTGCTCGGCTACAGATACCCAGGAGCAGATTGATGATCAGTGCAAACGTTGGCCTTCTAAAGTTGGGTGTTGGCGGCGAGGGACAAACCAATGAGCTATCCTCCTTGGAAACAACACCCCCCTTTGCAAACCGCTTGTGGTCTTGTGTTGGGTCACAGGAACTATCCCGTTTGCTTTGGACAACAGGTGTTTTGTTCAGACGACCTTTTACCGATATAAAGCCCTCGACAAAGCGCGACAACAATAGCACCTCTTTCATTATCACTACATCACACATTATCATGTTCCCCATTCCTTTGGACTGCCTTGTGACAATGATAACCCTTTGTTTGCCTTTGCAGCCTTTATATGCCTGCGGCTATTCTAAAGGTATGTTGCAGTTCTTTTTACCTCTCCAAAGACCAACATTGCTGAGATCACCTTCAGCCACTTTCAAACCGCACATACAACCTATCACCGTTGCTTAATCAACTATCGGCGCTCCTATCAACCCTACCCTTCCATCGAATTCATAACACAATGTCGCTCACTGTACCTGGGCTCTTGGGACTCTTCGTTGGAGTTTCTCAAGCTCTGCAATATCAAATCTACCAAAACTACTCCGGTTCCGACTTTTTCGATCACTTCGACTTCTTCTCAGACCCCGATCCAACACATGGCTTTGTGAAGTACCAGGATTTGGCTGGAGCTAATAATACTGGATTGGCAGGGTTTGCCTCGAACGACGTTTTCCAGAATGTGGTTTATCTCGGAGTCGACTCGTCCAGCGTTGCCCCAGGCGGCAGGCAATCCACCCGCATTGAATCCAAGGAAGTCTTCAACCAGTCCTTGCATATCGCTGATATTAGACACATGCCAGGAGGCATCTGCGGGTCATGGCCGGCATACTGGCTAGTAGGGCCACAGTGGCCAGATAACGGGGAGATTGACATCCTGGAAGGAATCTCACTTCAACCCGTCAACAAAATGGTCCTTCATACGAAAGCCCACTTGATGGTCTCCAACATCTCAGACCCCAGTGTCGCGAATGCCACCGGAATGCAAATGCAAGGCACCTTTACCAGCCTTGATTGCAGTACTGACATCACCGGAAATCCCGGCTGCGCGGCGTCAGGCACCAACAACTCGTTCGGCAAGGCCTTCAACGACGATGGCGGAGGTGTTGTGGCCACCGAATACGGCCCGCAGTGGATATCCATCTGGAATTTTGGACGTGACGAGATTCCCGCCGACGCTTTCAGTGGCAGTCCCAACCCAGAGACCTGGAGAACCCCTGACGCTCACTTCATGTCCGCAGACGGCGGCCCGCTGTCCGAATACTTTTCCAACCTCAGGATCGTCATCAACACCGCTCTGTGCGGAGACTGGACGAACGGGGACTGGGCCAACTCGGAATGCGCGACATTGGCCCCGACTTGCCAGGACTATGTTGCCAATAACCCGCAAGCTTTCAAAGAGGCTTACTGGCTCATTGGAGGCATTCAGGTCTATCAGCCAGTGTCTGGCGGATCGAATATCACGGACGGCCCTTATGCAGGTACGGCGTACCGTCGTCATGTGCCTCGCATGCATCCCCGTCAAACATCTTGACTCGACCGTAGGGTTTGAGATCTGGCGAGGTGTCGATCATACGCAGACTCTAAATCAGTACAAGTGAATGCATCGTGCAGCCTGACTTGGACAGACATATCGTCTGCTCCCAGTTTGTACCCAAATAGCCAAGAGAAAGAGGGGAATATACAGATAACCCAAAATGCTACATGTATGGCGCGAGGAACACCAAGATATAGCAAGAAGAAAAACCCTTTTACATAATGTCAAGAATGACGAGTTATCGTTGACTTAAACACGAAAATTTCTATGGGATCATGTGCTTCGTCGATTCTCTGCGCTTCATCATTGTTTGATCTTCTAAGAGGGCAGATAATAGTTCTGGGTATTCGAATAAACTCATTAGTTTTGAGCCCCAAAATGAACAAAAATGCTTGGGATTAATTTGGACCAATCGCAGATACAATTACTATTACGGTGAAGTCGAGTCTTTTGTACCTCCGTACTCGGTACTCTGTAACTCCGTTGTTGGGAACCGTTTTGGATCATTTTGAAGAATTATATAACTATCGGTAAATATATATATATATATATATATATATATGCCTCGAAAGTAGAGCTTTCATCTCGATTCTCATCTCATCTCATGTACTCATGTACGTTTCCGTCTCAGACGCACCGCACCCTGCTCGTCCTCTTCGTTGAGTGACAAGACCCACGCCTCGTCGTGGAACATCTGGCGCTTGAGAGATCTGTTGATCTCGCGGTCTGACGTCTTTGTGGTGGCGGGGTCGCGCAGGATCTCCTCGACCTGCGGGCTCAGGACCTGGGCGTGCGCCTGCCAGACGTTGTTGATGGAGGCGTAGGCCGACTGAGCGCGGAAGCTGAGGACGCCGGACAGGGAGAGGGCGATGAAGCCGACGAGGGCGACGTGGACGACCAGGCACCCGAGCACGACGAAGAAGCCGAGCGACCGCGTCGGCTGCAGGGCCGCCACGGAAAAGCTCGCCGAGTAGTTGGACGGGACGTCCCAGTACGGCAGAAAGCGGTAGAAGCCGTCCGCCGTCACCGTGTGCAGGAGCGCCTGGAGCGCCAGGGCGGGTGACTTGGTGGTTCTCAGGACTTGCTGGAAGAGGTTGGCGCGCTCCTCGCTCACGCTGCGCATGCTGCCCGCGAGCGACGGATCCTGGTAAAAAAGGACCCGCGAGATGTTCGGGGCGCTC